CATATATTTATTTTTATTCCTTTTAATTGTGTGTGCACGCACGCACGCACGCACGCATGCACGCCTGTGGGAATACGCACATGAGTGCAGGTGCCCTCAAAGACTAGAGGCATCAGATCTGCTAGAACTGGAGTTACTGACAGCTGTCAGCCGCCTGACAGGGGTAATGAGAACTGACTTGGGATCTCGGGAACATCAGCAAGTGCTCTTAACCATTAAGCCATCTCTCTAGCCCATCAAGGACATTCTTGGGTAAAAATACGGCATTTGATGTTTCACTACCTTGCAGAGAACACAAGAACATAGCATGGTGCCACAGGCCTGACTTGTGTTCAAGCACCAGCCATCTTCCCCACCACCAATTCTGCACCATCAGTCCAAATGCTGACACAGAAAAAGATAAACAATTTCTCATCATTCTTTTGGCCTCAGAGGCTGTCCCAGAGGCTGTAGGCCATGCTGATAACCACAGCACTTGCAGGCACGGACATTGAATCAACCTCCATCTCTGCCTATCGCTTCACCTGTGCCTTCTTTACCCAGCATTTCACCTGGTCCAGGCTGCAGTACTCAGTGTCCATTCCAGAACTTCGAGTCAAGTTCTCCTCAATTACCACTAGCTCTTCCCAACTTCTGCTGCTCAAGGGGGACCACCATCCCACAGCTCCTTGGGAAAGAAGCCTGCAGGACCTGGACATTCTGGGCATGCTCCCTTCAACAGTCCTAAAGTACCCTCCTTCTGGTTCTCCTCAGCATCCCTTCTCTGCTCACACGTCACCCAAGTGCATCAACTGCCAAGGGCCCTGGTTCCAACACAAGTCACACCTCCATGGCATACCTTGATGGCAGACTTGGTGTGCCTCCCAAACCATGCACGACTGAACAGGAACTGTACCTGTCGGCAGCTTCTGATCACTGCTTGTCCCACCAAGCCCATTCCAGATCCTTCAAAGGCTCCATTCACCCACATCATTAGCTTTCCACAGCTCTGAGTGGCTCCAGCCCTTCCAGTTGGCCTACCAATGACCTCAGCCTGTTCCTCACTCACAAACTTCATAGAGGCCACACAGTGGCAAACCAGTGCCCACAGAGAAGGTCCAGCTCCTACCGGTTTCTGTGTAACCCATGAGCCAAAAGTTGATCTTACATTTAAAACAATAAGGGGAAAAATTTAAATAACTACTGTAGTTTAGAATATAAAAATTAGATGAAATTCAAATTTCAGCCCCCATATATGGTTTCACTGGAGCACACAGTACCCATTGTCTCTCATGCTATCTGCTGCTTCTGCCACACAGCACATCCAAGAGCTGCTGGGCTGCGCCCAACCACTGGCACCCTGCTCTCCAGCATCTAACCTGCAGTAGGCAGGGGTGTTTGCACACTGGGCTCACCAACAGGGGGGCCTAGTGCAAGCTTATTAGTCACATTTCCACAAATTATGAACAACCTGGATTAGAGATGAACAGACCATAGTACATACTGTAACCTTGAACCATGGCTTTTAGAACCAGTGACCTGGACCAAAGAGATGCTACTTGATGGCTATTATCTGTACCTACTTAACCAACAGCAGAACCACCTCCACATACTTCAAACTGTGACCTACGAGGCCCAACGTACACGTTCATCTCCACTACATAAGCCAACATTCCAGGCATTAATACCAACCTGAGCCACAGCAACTGTATTCTTCTGCTGCATGCTCTGTAATGCTAGTGCACTGAATTGAAGCTAGACCAAAGCAAACACTCATATATCTGGCCAGACATGGTGGACTACACCTTTAGTCCCAGTACTCTAGAGGCAGAGGCAGGCAGATCTCTGGAATTTTAAGACTAGCCTGGTCTATATGGTGAGTTCCAGGCCAGCTAGAGCTACATAGTAAGAACATTGTCCAAAAAAAGAAAAAAAAAAGCTTACCATCATTTCCGTTTTCAATTTATTTTCCCACTGAAATGTCACAGAATGTCACAACTAACCCCTTGAGGCTCCCCCCCCCCAAAAAAAAACAGGATCAGATCTGAGAAGCTCAAATGAGCAAGCAGGATGTTCACACAGCACATGTAAGAATAAGACACTCAATGGGTGGTGGTGGCTCACACCTTTAATCCCAGCACTTGGGAGGCAGAGGCAGATGGATAGAGTTCAAGGCCAACCTGGTCTACAGAGCAAGTTCTAGGACAGCCAGGGCTACACAGAGAAACCCTGTCTCAAAAAAAAAACCAAACAAAACAAAAGTAGCTAAAAAACCAAGACACTCTAGCTTGGAGACCCCATCTCAATAGTAGTGTCTTTATTAAACCAGAACATGTCCCATGCCAGAACCTGTATATAAAATGCCACTGACTGATCACTCCAAACACATGGCAATGGCCAAAGATGGCGGACCAGGACACACCTTTTCCCTGCTTTACAACAGAGCAGGGTATCCTGGACCAAGTACACTCCAGGGCATCTTACCTACAAGGCTCTCACAGGTCCCAACCCCACCAAAAGCTACCAGGTATCTGGATGGAGTGCTCCAGTGACCATGAGTAAAGGAAGGTAACTAGAATGCTTTTCATCAATCTCAGCTATGGTAGCAACATACAGCAAGAATCTGTTTGCCTCGGGGGCTGGAGAGATGGCTTAGAGGTTAAGAGCACTGACTGCTCTTCCACAGGTCCTGAGTTCAATTCCCAGCAACCACATGGTGCCTCACAACCACCTGTAATAAGGTCTGTTGCCCTCTTCTGGTCATACATGCTGTATACATAATAAATGGGTTAGCAAGACAGCTCAGCAGGTAAAGGTACCTGCCACAAAGCCTGACCTGCCTGAGTTCCCATACTTGAAATCCACACGATGGAAGAAGAGGCTCCTGAAAGTTGTTCTTTGACTTGTATCTACACACACATGTGCACACACAGAGTTAAAATTTGAAAAACAAGTTACTCAGAATCATGTATATGGTGCATGCCTATAACCCCAGCACTGAGGCTAAAGCAGGGGAGCTGTGGCAAGTTGGTCTATACAGAGGCCAACTTGGTCTATACAGAGTTCCAAGCCAGGCAGGGATACATACAGAAAGACTTTCTTCTAATAAACAAAATTTTTAAAAATTTAAAAAAAAAAAACTTAAAAACGCAAATCCACTCATCTTTCTGCCTTTGGAACATCTTCTTTTCTTCACCATAATCTTCAGGATGAAGAGACTGCATACACCTATGAACAGTCCAGCTCTGAGCTGCAGGGACTCTCCAGAAACCACTCTACCCAGCCTAACGAACAGGAATATGGGTACTAGAGTCCAGGCTCCTCCACCTTTCAATGAATGAAACAGAAGACATGGAAAGGCCATGCTCTCAGTTCATGAAAGTCACCCTGCATTTGTACTTAACAGCCAGTTTAGGCAGACTTCACCCCTGTGGCCTCTGCCACCAGGGTCCCCTGAGTCTTCCCAGGTCTCAAAAGGAAATGGCCATTCCAAGTCAGCAATAAATGTATAGACTTTGTATTTTTCTGAGCTTATACTCTGTAGAATGAAGGCCCTAGTGTAGGATTATACAAGGTTTAGCAAAAACCCAGGAAAACCACATCCAACACAGGAGCCATTTACATCCACATCAACACACAGGAATCTTTGTGCAACTAAATACATTACTGGGATAATCAGTCAAATGTAAGATCTAGTGTTTAAGCAGCAGAAATGAAAACCCCTGATGTGATAACTGCACTGAAGTTGTAGAAGAGAATTCCCATGTTTTTAAAAATTGTTACTTAAGTATAGAAGGCTTAAGGAACCCCATGATGCAAGAAAACTTGTCTTCTCTGAGAGAGTGGACACCTGAAAACACAGGTGGAAACTACACAGGCCTTTCCTGGGACTAAAGCAAATATCCCAACCCCGCTCCTGTTCAAAAGACCTCGGGCTTTTCAAACTACAAAGGCTGTGATGGAAAAGGGTGGCCCTCCAGGTTTTAAATGATAGGAAAATGTGGTCTCTGGATCTGAAGTGACAGGAAAGGGTGGTCCCTGGGTCTGAAGGTGACTGTAAGTCACATTCTGAAAAGCTATCACTGATGTATTAATCTTTCCAGATAAACTCTAATCCTTGAAGAACGTGAGAGTGCCCGAGCCAGTGAGACAGTAGCTTCCTCCTTATACTTGCTGCTCAAGTCAGCAGGTGAGAGCCTGGTCCCAGAAGCACCCCGAAGAGCCATTACAACAGGTGGCACATGGCCAAAGCCTGAGTGTAATGCTGATCAGCACATTAGAGGGCACCTATACCCCAAATGTCCCCACTGCCAATCCACTCCCACCCTAGCCTGTGTCCAACTTGTATCAACATTTTGTGGATGACACAGGCCTCACAAACCACAAACCCAGATCAAAGGCAACCACTGTCTGCCTCTGGAGTGTAGATAGTTTCCTGGGAAACATATACACCCAACTTCTGATGTGCAAGATGGAGTTGACCAGTGAAGACAGACCACAAAGCCAGACATAAATTCTTATCCGTCTATAACAGAAAGATCCCAGGCTTTGAGTTGGGGTTCCACCAGTATTTAATGACACTTCAACTACTAGGAGCCTGAGAAATAGCAGGACAGGTACTGGCACAAATCTAAAACAGTGAACCTCTAAAGAGGCAGGACTCTTTCAGCTCCTCCTCTACTTCCTATTGGAGGAATCCCTATGGGGATGAGAGAAGAAATGATGTATCTCCACCAGGTAAAGGAGCCAAGCAATAGCACTCCTGTGATCTTGGGAGCACTCAGAAGCAGGTGGAGCTGAATGGGTTACTGATATCAACCTGTGAGCCCAGCAGCAGTGGTCATCCTTGATCTCCTTTCTCTTCCTGCTTCCTTCTTTATAAGGCAGAGCTGCATTTTAGACAAATCTAAATTATGGAATTCTGAAATACATTGTAAATATATGTAAATATTAAACCGTTACTTGGCAAAATGTGAATAATCTGAATCCTATAAACCTTTAAAACCCATGGAATATCAAACCTGGAAGGGTGGTCAGTCACATGTCATTTCACAAGGACAGGCTCTGGGAGCTACTGTCCTTGACTTTGCTGGTTTTATAGACATCACAGGGTGTGTTTACAGAACTTTGATACTCTGAGGTCAGGGGTGATATTGCCTTGTCATTGGCTGAAACGTGGCACGAGCATGACTTCACACTGACCAACAATGTTCGGCTGGTAAACTGGTCACACAGCCTGAGATCCATCCTGATCCCATGAAGGAAGTTATATAATGTCTTCAGAGATGCATCCAAAGCACAGAAGGTGGTCTGCAGCAATGATCTTCATTCCAAGCCATCCCTAGCTCTGGTCAATGCATAAGCTGAGCTCAGAAGGGGACTGTCCCCATCCTGGAAACCTATAGCTCTTGGGAACTGCAAGGCAGCTGAATTCCTTCCCTGGATCTGTTGGCAAGATGGCCTTGGGTTTTGTCTGTTCAAAGGAAACCCAGTTTGTAGCAGCAGGGTGTATACACACCACTGTTTCACTTCAGTTCAATCCAAACCCATTTCCAGCTTCCACAGGACTAAACTAACTGTCCATCTTCAGGCAAAGGAAAACAGGCCACAGCAGCTTCTCACAGAAATGGCGTTTGTTCTGACAGGTTGATCAGCACAGGACCTGTCCAGATTTTATCTGCCCTCCTCACACTCTACTAGCTCCTCCCCCACACTCAACTTTTTTTTTTTTTTTTTCGAGACAGGGTTTCTCTATGTAGCCCTGGGCTGGCCTTGAACTCAGAGATCCACCTGCCTCTGCCTCCCAAGTGCTGGGATAAAAGGCGTACGCCACCACCAGCTCATATTTACTTTCTCTGCACTGTTTATCCTCAACTTTTTTTTGTTTCTATTTTAAGACAGGGTCCTCCTACGTAGCTCTGGCTGTCTTGGAACTATGCAGACCAAGCTGGCCTCCAACTTACAGAGATCATCCACCTGCCTCTACCTCACGAGTGCTGGGATCAAAGGTGTGCACCGCCATGCCCCACTGATGATTCTTGACTTTTAATGCTCCTTAGGACCTGAGAGAAAGGCAATGGTAGTCAATATCACATATGTCCTCCATCACTTCTTTCAACTTTTTCAGTGACATGCCAAAACCTCTTCCTATCTTTTCACCCTTTCTAGCCTCTCTTGCCAGACTTAATTCTTCCAAAGCTCACTATCGTATGCAATCAACCATTTAGGTGCTTCCTCTAGAGAACCCCACCACTGAGACTCTAGAGAACCATCACCAATATGAGGTTCCTTTGGGGTAAGCAGATGTTTGTTCCACCATAGGCTAATATATATGTAATCAAACTGGACAGTTCTTAACTATGTAGACATGAAAGCTGCAGAAGTTAATTCAAGATGGGCATCAAATCCACTCTATTTCAGCAATGTTTCACCCTTCTCGATGGTGGTTCCATGCTCTGGAGGCACCAGCTCATCCACCAGGTTCCAGTATCAATTCCAAGCCCCGCTCTTTTGAAGACTACATCCATGCATGCAGGGCAGTGCCCATCGGAGTTCTAGATCTGCCCTTGAGAACTAAGGACAAGGGAGCAGCACCTCCCACCTATATTTCAATACCAGATCTCACTGCAAGCTTCTGCCTGGGATGATGAAGTGAGTTCTAAGTGCCAAGCTGGCGTAACTCTCTCCCTTGCTAACCAACAGTGCAGGGTGGTTAGGAGCACTTCCACTGACCAATTCCCTGGGAGGGATTTTATGAAGAGAAACTGTAAAACATTTACTACAGAAAACTTCAGCCTGACACATTCCTGTTGGGGCCCTCAATGCATCCATCTGTCTAGTCTTTTTATTCTAAGGGAAATGGTTTTTTTTCCTAGAAATAAATGAGATGGCCTGTAGCATGAATTTTAACAGGTCTTATTAATAAAAAACAAACCTGGAGCCAGGTATTGGGGTGAATGCTGGAAGATCAGAGAAGCAGAACAAGCCACAGCTTCCTCACCTCGCAATTCCTCAGCTGATCCTGTTTCCTTAGACTGGAAGCCTCTGTGTCCTTATCCAAATGAATCTTAGCTAAACTGCTTCTTGAAAGCCTGAAAGCTTAACCAGCTCTAGTTCCTGGTCCTCACACCCTATATACCTTTCTGCTTTCTGCCATCACTTCCTAGGATTGAAGGCTCACTTCCTGAGATTAAAGGCATGAGTCACCATGCCTGGCTGTTTCCAGTGTGGCTTTAAACTCATAGAGACCCAGATGGATCTCTGCCTCCCAAGTGATAGGATTAAAGGTGTGAGTGCCACCATTTTCTGGCCTCTATGTCTGTCTAGTGGCTGTTCTGTTCTCTGACCCCAGATAAATTTATTAGGGTGCACGATATATTGGGGAACACAATAACACCACAATGGCCCTTTAAGTTATATGGGTATTACAGTCAGCCTTGCATCATAGAATTCAATTATGCACCTTAGGATTCTATAGCATAACTGATTCTGAGAATACAGGCTAAGCTACATGGGATGGCATTAGTAAAACTATTGTTGTGGACTCATCTAGAAATCTGTACCTGGAGCCTCCACTTCCCTTAGGCACCTATTAACCACTCACAGAGCAAAGCTTGTGGCTCTTCAGTGTGTCAATGTGCACACACACACACACCCTGACCACATGTAGATTCTGAGTCCCTCACCTGGAGAAGTACTGGTCAGAGTTCCAGTGAACATTCCTCCCCCATATGCATCTAACATTTTCTCATGAATATATTTCTAGCAGAGAACTGATGTGTCCTTAGTTTATCTTTTGGGGTATTTGACATCACTGTCTCTACTGGCCTCATTAGCCTCAACCAGTTGCTTTGGAGGTACATATTTGCTGGGCTTTTTCCAGAGATAGTACTTTTCTTCCTGTCAAGACTTATAAACACTGGAGAATACTCTGGGATGACGGAAATATCAGACTGGAGGAGATATGACAACTAAATAGAGTATGGGGTCCTGAATTAGATCCTGAAACAAACAACAAAAAAAGATGTCAGTGGAATACTAGAACTTGCGTAAGGTCTATAATCTAGGTATCCTTGCTGTTAGATACATTTCTGGCTTTCTGTAGATAGTTCCTTGTATAAGATGTCAACATCAGGAGAGGAAATGAAGGGGAGAAAGCTCACTAATAGTTTCTCTCAAATTCTTAATGGCAGACTGAATCTGCAGGTGGGCCTAAGAGTGCTCATGAGCGCATGGGTTGTTAAAACTCTGCTACAAGACCCTAGCAGATGCAGCCTATTTCATTAAGTACAGCTTGCAAGTATGCCAGCCCAATGCATTGCCTTGCTATCCCTGTGCTATGGGTACAACAAACACTGCACCACGCACTTCTGGGTCAGTGAACCAGCAAAAAAGTGAAGTGGCTAACCTGAGTGCTCACTACAGAACAATTAAATGAAGTACCTACGCTCAGTGTCTGACCAGGCTCCTGCATCCTGCTGCCCTGCCAATACAGCAGAGCCAGAATCATCCACTCAACTGGAGGCAACCACAGAGACCATGCTCTGGCACACATCACGAAGACGGACGGACAGAAGGAAGGAAGGAAGGAAGGAAGGAAGGAAGGAAGGAAGGAAGGAAGGAGAAATGCTTTGAAGACAACAGGCTTTGGAATTCCTGTTCAAGTTGAGTGGCCTTGTAAATAATCTCTATTTATCCCACTAAAATACTTTTTAATATAAAGAGTACAATAAACCCACAAGAAAATAGAACACAGTAAGACGTCATCAATTTCTGACAGAGGGTCTAATCTAAATAAGGGAAACAGCGGGCCTGGAGCATACAGGAGTGAGGCTCTAGGCCTCACCTGGGCCTCAGCAGTCTCCACAGTCACCTCACAGACAGGTAGAACATCTTCCAAGCAAAGAGAAACCCTTGAAGATAAACAGCCCAGATAAAAGGTGTCCGCAACAAGTCCTCCAGATCTTAAGGAAACATGCTTGCCAAGTCACTAGAGGGGAAAACCATTTTTAAAACCCTCTCCATAGGCTCAGGGACCTCTGCCAGTTTCCTCTTGCCTTAGGGCCTAAGGCTTAGGCAATAATAATTACCTGCCTAAGGAGGTAGACCTGCCATGCAAAGCAAGAAGCTAACATTTACCACCCACCCCTCAAACAAACAAGAAATCAGATAAAAAGAGAACTGAAAAGAACCCCTAATATAGCTTCCTCAGCCTGAAGGAGAAAATATATTCATAAAACAAACTACTGGACAAAAGGAAAAGGACAAATACACTCAGAAACTACAATTTGGTGGTTTTTTTTTTTTTTTTCCCAAGATAGGATCTCACTATGTAGCCCAGATGGGCCTCAAACTCAAAGATCCACCTGCCTCTGTCTCCTAAGTGCTGGAATTAAAGTCTTTGAACCACTGTACCCACCAAAATAAAAAAAAAATGAGAGCTGAAGATAAACTGAAGCTCTCTTGGAATGAGTATAAAAGGGATTAGAAAGAAAGATGAAGAGATTCAAGTAGTCTACCCAAAATGTGTGTCACACATAACAGGAATCCCTAGAAGAATAAAAATCAGAGAAATAAATTCTCTAATGACTCAAAAGAATTTCCCAGGCTCAACAAGGTCACGCCTACTGAGCATACCTGTAAACTGTAAAGATGTTCAAATGCCAAGACGACCTTAAATTCGTCCAGGGAGGAAAGAGTTACCAGAAAGGAAGTACTTGGCAGAGACTCCCTGTGGACTGAAGAAAGCGAAGACTGAAACACTGTGTCCTGAACTAACCAGGCGTGTAGGGAAGACATCAGGACCTACCTGAGCGGGCCTTAAGAGTGTCACTGACCCAGATTAGAAAAGGACAAAGCGGAGGTGGAGGAAGCCGAAGATTTAACACTATCCTCGAGAAGTTACAATGTCACCAGGAGCAGAAAAACAAAGGCCACTACCAACAACAGGGGAAAAAAGCAAGGCTGTGTGGGATAGGGACGTGACGCTAGGTGGGGAAGAGAGCTCCAGTTATCAGTCCCGAAGTAAACAGAGTGCGGAACAGAGGCGGATGCGCCAGCGAGGCAGAGAGCCAAGAACTACCGGGAGAAGGGGCCACCTGAGGCGGCAGGGCGGTGCGCAGGGCCCGGGAGCACCGCGCGAGGCTCTGCACTGACAGACTAGGGTGGCCGAGCGCGGGAGACCGCGTCCGCGCGCCGAGGCCGCGACAGGGCCGCCGGGCGCGGGCCTGGGCGGCGCCGAGGCTCCGCAGCCGAACGTGAGCACGGCCGCCGGGCCTCGCCCGCTCGCTCCCGGCGCCCCGCACGCCCAGCCCGGAGCCTGCAGCCCGGGCGGGTGGAGGCGCGGAGGCGGCGCACGGACATTCCGCGGCCCACTGGCCCCCACCCAGCCCGGCGTGCGGCCCGCGGCCGTTGGCGACGGTTGGCGGCGGGGCGGGGCGGGGGCGAAGGAGATCTCGCTCTCGCTCTCGCTCTCGCCCCGCGGGAAGGGGGAGTGGAGGCGCGACCGGCTGCGGGAGCTGCAATTACCGTGTGGGCTGCGGAATTCTCGTGGTGTTTGTCGGGGAGATGCGATAATGGCGTCCGTCCTCGCGAGAGAAGCAGCCGCTCTGCGCAGGCGCTGCGAGCACCTCCCCGCGCCCTGCGCCCCGCCCTCAGCGCAGGCTCCCTGGGCTCCGGGCTCGAGGGCGGAGCCAGGCGGACAGGGGGCGGGGCCTGCTCTGGGCGCCTCTAGCGCGCGCTTTCGCCGACGGACTCTGGCGAACATGCGCAGTTGTCTTCCTGTACTCCGAGAGTTGACTCCTGGGACCCTTGTTTCCCCTCTCACGTCCGTGCTTTTTGCTAAAACGGTAAATCCTCCCGTGGGCAATCTGAGGAATGTACGTCCTTTCTGAGAGGGAGTGAATAGATGCTAATGCTGCTCCGATGACTACAAATCCCAGGGTACGCTGTGTGTGGCGCGATGCCTTCTGGGATTGGTAGTCTCGGCAGTTGTGATTTGCGTGCTGGGATTTGTAGTTCACCCGGATTCTGGCAGCCGCGTCCCTTCCCTGCCCTGAGGGCTGCTGGGACTTGTAGTGACGGCAACTCAGATAGGGTGTGCTCATCCAAACCGCTCCTACCTACTCGCGCCGTGGATCGGTCTCGGACGTTCCGGGCTCGTTTAGTGATGTCGTCTCAAAAGTTGTCCAACTCCCATGTGAGCAAGCAGTTGGAGCGGACGCTGTCACGGTGATAGAGATTATATGTGACATGCTTATGTATCCTGGAATAGGCGCTCCTGCGGCATCGATGTGCGCTTGTTCCCAGAAATGCTACTAGTGGCTGTTTCTGCACTTAGTCTCTCATTCACGTTCCTCTCCGGGCTCGTTCCTTCCGCATGTTCGCAGTGAGCAATCCGCCAAGCCAGGATCCGGGAGCTTTTTTCACTTGGAAAGAAAATACTTTACCTTAACTTTCCTGCTCCCTCCTCTGTGCAATAATAAAGTCATGACTCAGTGCAGCCACCAGCTAGGCGACCTTGGGAGACCCTACTGAATGCTTCTAGACCACTGCGCTCTGTCTCTGGGGGCTGGTCCTGGGCTACTTTGCCTCAAAAGTGTCTTGAAGACTTCAAGCTGGAACTGTGCTGTTAAAATTAAGACCTGTCATTTACAGAGATGAGGATGAAGTCCAAAGAGGCTAAGAAATTGCTGGAGGTGGCAGCTGGAGCCAGGAGGGCAGATTTTGGGCGTCTATGTGAATGAAGTCTTACAATTTTAAGTTGCCTCGCATCCATGTAGAAAGCAAGTTGGCAGCCTAGACTATGTAGCAAGTTCCAGGACAGCCATATCTTGCAGCGGCGGCTGGGGGATGGGAAGTTGGGTGGGGTGCGTTGAAAAGTCAGTTTCTCTTCTGGGAGCAGACGCGATCACCACGGACAGCGCCTCTGTTCAGTATAAGAAGGAAGTCTTATGTAACTTCCTTCTGGTGACCTCCGGCCCTTGGGAATGCAGGATACAGCCTACTTGATAGAGGCCACCCTAACACACAGGGCAAATATGTCGCATGAACCACCTCACAGTCATGTGTAACCTCCTGGAACGACCTGTTTGCTCAAACTACCTCATGAAATTTGTTTGCACTTGATCTTAGGCCAAAGGTCAAGGAACCACAGGAAAGCTGCATGGACCAGACCCTGGACTTCAATAAAGTCCTTAGCCTGCAGGGTCCTTTCCTTTTCACCCACCCAAATACCTGACCTCTAGACACACAGTGCACCCCCAAGACCTATACAAAAGTCTGTTTTCATGTTGTGTCCTGATCATTTTGCCAAGTGGTCTCCAACATAAAGATCTGAAATTCCAACTGACCCAGACTCCAGGGAAGCATTAGAGCAGCTACAGGAACCAAGCCCAGAAGTACCAAGAGGAACTTGGGCAGAGACTCCTGGAGGATACCCCACTTACTCCCAGCACATCTCAATCAGCATAACTCTTTAACTGTGAGAATTCTGAACATGAGTGCCTGACTGCATGGAAAACACAAAGTAATGGTGACGTCATTCACGGTGTGTTCAGCCCAGCATCCTCGTCTCCTCCCTCCCACCCATGGCTTTAGCTTTACGTTCTTGTCCATCCCAAGCCTTCAAATGCACTTAGCTGAACGATTGAGCAGATGAGTGAGTGGTGAGGAAAGGGTAGAGGGGTAACAACTAACCAGCAGTGAAGGGGTGAATGAGGGCCGTGTGCCAGTACAATTAGGTCACAATCAGAGATTAAGCTAATCATAGCCAGAATCCAGAACCGGGGTGCTAGAGTGTGTGTGTGTGTGTGTGTGTGTGTGTGTGTGTGTGTGTGTGTGTGTGTCTGTGTGTGTGTGTGTACATGTACGTGAGTGTTCTTGAGTACTTGTGATACCCATGCCCCTCAGAAATCACCCATCTTGTTTTTTGTTTGTTTGTTTGTTTTTGGTTTTTCGAGACAGGGTTTCTCTGTGTAGCTTTGCGCCTTTCCTGGAACTCACTCTGTAGCCCAGGCTTTCCTCCAACTCACAGAGATCCGCCTGGCTCTGCCTCCCGAGTGCTGGGATTAAAGGCGTGTGCCACCACCGCCCGGCCAACCATCTTGTTTTTTAAGACAAGGTATTTCAATGGTACCTGGAGCTTGCAGGGTAGATGAGCCTGACTGTCTAGTGAGCTTCCCCAGCTCTGGGATTACAAGCCCACCCCACCATGCCTGGCTGTTATACTTGGGTTCTGAGGCTCAAGTCTAGCTCCTCATGATTGCAGGGCATGCACTTTACCAACTGCCATTTCCCCAACCCTCTTTTCTTTTGATGTCCTGGATTTTATGTTACGTTTGTTTACTCTATATATATGTTCGGGGGGTTGTCCAAGTACCATGGCACCTCATGGAAATGAGAAAGGACAACTTGGGAGTCAGTTCTCTCCTACCATCTGCATCCCAAGGATCAAACTCAGGTAGTGAAGCAGATATCTCTTTTTTGAGATAAAATTTTATCCTGGAACCCATGCTGGCCTTGAACTTGTGGTCCTCCTATCTCTGCTTTACCTGTAGCTGGTTGACCAGCTTGAACAACCAGGCAGGCATGTCTCAGTTTTCCTTTAGTGAATTGCCGTTGCTCTCAAATCTCAGCCTTCTCCTCTGGGAGCTTTTCCGACCTCGTGCACTGCACACAGGGAGGAGTAGATAAAGAACTTAGCAGAGAGCAGGAAGTGAGCCGATCACCCCGTGTGATGAATGGCTACCAACCAGCCATGTTTTACTAGGATCCCTAGCCTTTGTGGAGAAAAAAGTTCATACGTACTAGGCAGTGCCCCTAGAACACACACCCCTGGTATACATAAGAGGAAGGTTGAATGTCTTGACTGAGAAGCAATGGGAAGCCTTCTCAAGGTTTGGAGAAGGGTGAATGTGCACAGATTTGTGTTTTGAAAAGCCATTCCACCTGGAGTGTTGGGGAAACAATGGGGGTCCTGCTTACCTGGGGAAGAGCAGCTGTAGAGACTCTGGTAGGGCCAGCCAGGGTGACACAGGCCTGGGGTGGAAGTTAATGCAGGAAGATGTGGACAGATGGGAGGTCCCGACACTACAGGCTGAGGAGGGAGAGGGGATCCACACCATCAGGGCCTGGACTTGCCCTCACGTGGACAAATCCACAGTGCCCTGTACTGAATGGCTGCCAGCCTCCACCCAGGTTGTGGGGACAGCCTCTCCTGGCAGCTGGCACACGCAGGCCTTTGGTAATCACCCCCTCCTCACCTGCTTCACACAGGATACTGGCCCTGAAGACTCTCCCACTAGGAACCAAAAGGACAGTTCAGGGACACAGAGAGAGCAGCTTTCTGTGCCAAAAAGAGTGGCTGTGGCCTTCTCCAGGTGGGGACAGTGGCAGCAGCAGGGCAGACTGTTGACATGCTCACTGATGGCTCTAAAGTTGGCTCACTGAGGAGCCTGCTTGGCTTCTTGAACAGCCCCTCAGAAGTGGGACCTTGACCTTTCTTCTGACCTCTGAGCTGCCAGACCAGAACTCCATGATGTCCTAGACTACTCACCAGGACTGGGCCTTTAGAAATTAGCAATGTCCACTTCCTGAGTTCTGGGACCCTTGCCCATGACTCACTTAGCCCCAAGCTGCCCTGCAGAGAGAACCCCCAGCCAACGCTTTCCAGGCAGCGACAAAGTGCCATATTGAAGTGAGGGTACCACACCATGGGCCAGCACAGCTGGCACCACAAGGAGCAGAGAAGAGCAGGCGCCACAGAGCCCCGCCAGAACGCACACACGAGACCTTGTGAGTTGTGGTTGTTTTCACCTCCACCTTTCAGGGCATGTCCTCAGACAACAATGACAGCCAGAGTGCAAGCTCCCATGGAGGCTTCTGTCCACCAACCCCCAGCCACCCCACTGAAGCCAGCCCAGAGGGTGAGTGACAGGCCCTTCTGTGATCCCCAGGCATCTGCTGTGTTCCTCACGTGTGTCCCAGAACTCCAACAGCAGTGTGTGGTGATATTTTGTTTGGGATCTAACAAGTAAAGCTTGCCTGAAGATCAGAGTGGAGAGCTAAGCCACTAGTTAGCCGCAGAGACTGGGCGGTGGTGGCACACACCTTCAATCCCAGCACTCGGGAGGCAGAGGCAGACAGATCTCTGTGAGTTCAAGGCTACCCTGGGCTACACAAGATTGGTCCAGTCTAAAAGAGAAACAGAGTCAGGCAATGGTTGGCACACGCCTTTGATCCCAGCACTAGGGAGGTGGAGACAGGAAGTGATAGGGCTGGACAGAGAGAGGAATATACGGCAGGAGGAGACAAGAGCTCAGGTCCCTTTCAGCTGAGGATTTCGTAGAGGTAAGAACTAGTGGCTGGCTGCTCTGCTCCTCTGATCTTTCAGCTTTCACCCCGATATCTGACCCCGGGTTTTTATTAATAAGACCAGTTAGGGTTTGTGCTACAGCAGCATAGTGGCTACATGTGCCCGAAGACTTCCTGCTTGGCCACACATTTAGCTGCACTTTCTTTCCAGTTCAATCTCCTCATATTGTTTGTGGGATGGGCTCAAAATCCATGGACATCCTGGCCTGGCCACTTGCCAGCTAGGAGGCCCTCCCAGCACAGGTCACAACTCTGAGCGGTTTCCTCCATCTACAGGACAGAGATACAAATGCCACAGTGTAGAGGCCAGCTTAAGGAAATACAAGGAGTCCATTTGTGCCAGCAAGATGACTCACCTAGCAGAGATGATTAACACCAAGCCTGATGACCCCAGGCCCCACACGGCGGAGAGAACTGACGGCCACAGGTTGTCCTCTGACCCCCACATGTGTCTGTGCATAGATAGGCACAAAATAAATAAAATGTAATTTAAATTTGTATTCCTTTGTTAAGTGAACTTGTTGATTATATAACTGAGTGTAAAAAAAATAATAAAGGCAAAAATTAAAAACAACACAAAATATAAAGCCCAATTCCTTTCCTGTTCCCCTCTCTGTGTCTCTCTTTCTTTCCCTCCTTTCCTCTCTCCCTCTCTCCCTCCTCTCTTCTCTCTCCCCCTCTAGGGCCCACAGCTCACCCACAGTCCATCCCAATCATCTAGGTTTTGTAGATCTAAGATCTGGAATCTGTGATGTGAGACTTCCCTATGCTCTCACAGACCCACAGCTTAAAACAATAGTAATGATGAAAGCACTCACATGCCTTCCCGTCCCTGTGGACCTCCTTTAGGAAAGGGTATTGGAGAACAGGCAGCTGCCCCAGCCTGAGTGAGGCTTCCTGGGGCCGACACAAAATCCAAGCAGCATGGCCAGGGCCACCAAATATACTTTGTCCCTATGTGGACCCTTCATGCATGAAAGAGACACTGTTGGGGTTGGCAGCAAACCTCTGGGCAGAACCCAAGGGCTTGCCCACCAGAGGGTATCCTACCTCAGTAACGACATTTGGATCAAGTAGGCTCTAGGCTGTGGAGATGGGCCCAAGGCGACTCCAGCTGCCCTCAGCAGTCAGAACACCTGTCTCAGCCCCACTCAGCCACTGTGGCCCCACTAGTCCTTATGCTCTTGAAACTGCCATCTTCTGTCCACTTCTGTGATAGCTCTGTCTCTGCACTACATGTCCCCAAGACAAGGTCAACACCACAGGGGACAGGGACTTCGCCCTCACCCATCTTTCATATTCTTTTCCGGTGCTCTTGGGGGATCCCTGTCAAGTTTAACTCTCTGGCAGGCTTGCCCAGCTGTTTATCAGACCAAAGCAGTGACCCAAGTGACCTGTTCCCAGCCAAGGCCACTGGTCCCCAGTCATCCACTCCTGAACTGGGACAGGTAAGAGTTGAAATTTAACCACTAGGTTCAGAGGTTTCGATGAGTTCCTCAAAAAAAAAAAAAAACAGAGGTGCACCCCACTCCACAGTGGCCCTGACCCAAACAAGGGTGGACAGTGGGGAACTGGCACACTTATGCTCAGAGCCACGATGCTGGGGAGAGGCCCTCACAAGCCCTTAGCCATCCTCAGGCACATGGGGCCACTCCGTGCCATGAGGCCACAGCACTGGCACTCCCGGCATTCCTGTGTGGAGAAACGCAGCAGCTGTGCCCGTAAGTAGATCCTTAGGCTGTCCCAGGTGTGAGTTAATGTTGGTGCAGTCCTTAGGGTGGCTTTAAGAGGCAACACGGTCCAGAGCTGACTGGCTTCCATTCGGATTTGTACAGTGTCTCCGGCATCTGGTGGCCCTGAGTGAGCCACGTAACTCTGGTTCGGGGGTAAAAGTGGGGAAGAGGTACTGGGAATGTGCAGTACATGCTCCAAGCCTCCAACTGGGTCTAAGACACTTCCCTGTAAAATATGTGTCCTGACTCAGGACTCAAAGTGCCTGGGCTACAGACTTTGGGCTTCAGCATTTGGAAGGGCCAGGCCCCGAGCCCTAAGTGGAGATAGCAGGTGGGTGACTTTGGAGAGGTGACAACCTTACTAAATGCCCTGCCTCCCTAAGCCTTGGTTTCCTCATCCACAGGACAGGCAAGACAGATGCTGTCTCTAGCATCTGGTGAGAAGCCAGTGTGAAAAGCTGGGTGCCCAGGGTGCCCAGCACCCACAGCCCTGTCTGCAAAGCCTGGGGCAACCAAAGAAGCACCCAGGCCTCCAAGTCTGCTCCTGTCAAGCACGAGCTCAGGCCTGGAAGGATAACAAAGAGGCTGGAGGGATGAACGTTATCCCCCAGTGGTCCAGCCCAATGTCCAGACTCTGGAGGCAAGAGCTATTCAGAGATGCAGGGAGTAGGAAATCCAAGCTGCCCTCCATAAATCAGCCATTGTGACCCACGTGTCACACCCCCACCCAGGAAGATCTGGGGTGAAAACCTTGTCACCTCCCTCCTCTTTCCTGTCCTTTCATGGACACAGCTGTCCCTCATGGCTTTCCAGATGTGTAGTACCTTCTGAGAGCCTGTTGGAGATACAGAACCCAGCCCTGACCAGCCTCTCTGTAAGACCAACCATACTGGAGGGGTACACCCACCTAGATTGCCACACAATCTGCACCAGGCCATGGCCTGTACCCTCTTTATAGTCCAGCACTTTCCAAGACCACGTGCAGGTAGGGAAGGATTACATAGAGCCATGAAACAAGGAGGGTGGGAATGGCTGAGATCTCAGGTGAGGGTCTGTCTCATGACTCCCCTCCCGCTCCTTCTATGAGGAAATGTTAATGGGAACATGTTACTGGTCTCCTGTGGGTGATTACAGCTGCTCTTATTCCAAGATGGCTGCAGTCATGTCACACCCAGAGGACGTTCCACAGCTGTCAAGGAAGGGTAATAAAAGTATTTACCACTGCAAGTTGTTAAAAGAACAAAGCAAGGTCCTCGGTCAGCAAGCCCAGGACCTGTTCTATTCAGACACACCCTGTGGGCAAACAGCTCTTGCGGTGCTCTAAGCCTAGGCCCTGAGGGTCCAAAGCCCAGGGACAAGACTGGCAGAACCAGGGGCTCACAGCTCCAAGCACTGAGAGCTGGGGGCCCGCTGCCCTGGGTTTTATAGGCCAGAGTCTTCTGGCTCTAGGATCTCAGGTTCGAGGCTCATGGCTCTGACCTTTAACCCCGGCACTTGGCGACTCTGCTGTCCTTGGCTCTAACAGCTGTGAGCAGCAGCAGACAGCAGTTGCTAGCGTTAATGCTCCGGAATGTGCCTAGGGTGGGGGATCCTCAACCCACGGCAAGAGGTAGTGCCACAGCTGTTGTGCCTACAGTGTCTGAAGTTTGGCTCCTAAGGTTTGGCAACTCATCTGGTGACTGAAGTTGGCAGCTTCTCATCTTCCATCTTCCTAAAGCCCAATGTCACCACTGCTCTGCTCTCAACTCCATCACTCCCTGGAGCTCTTTATCTGTCCTCTCAGTGCTTCTGGGACAACTCATATCAACACTGCTGCCCCCAACAACAGCTCCCTCTGTCCCCTCTTCCCGTTACCTGCTCAGCCCAAAGACAAGGTCACCTGAGAGAAGCCTTCTCCACCTACCTGACTCCACCCCCAAGACAGGGTTTCTCTGTGTAGCCCTGGCTGTCCTGGTACTTGTTCCATAGCCCAGGCTGGCCTCTGACTCAGAGATCTGCCTGCCTCTGCTTCTCAAATGCTGGGGTGAAAGGAGTGTGCCACCTGATGTTGCAAAATGAGAGGACAGGGCAGAGAGGTGTCCCCCAGCTGACTCCAAAAGGGAACTAGGTAAATTAGTTGTATAGTCAGAGGTGGGAGTGACAAGGGTTTACACCAATCACTGCACAGTCCTGCGTGCAAATGAAGGATTGGGTATATACCAGTCACAGGCCTTTTTCTGGGCCACCAAGGTACTCCCCCTCTGGCCTGGGTGGACATAGCTGCAAGAGACAACTGGAATTCACTGAGCCTGGTCTCGTAATCTCCAGTGCTGGGGAGGCAGAGACAAGCAGATCCTTGGGACTCAACAGCAAGGTAACCTAGCCTGCTCGGTGAGGTCCAGGTCAATGAGAGAACATGTCTTAAAAAAAAGAAAAAAAAGAAAAAGATGGCAGCTGAGAAATGACACTCAAGATTATCCTCTGCCCTCTATAAACATCCAGGCATGTGGACACCAATACACAAAGGTTTTCCTACCCAGGAGAACTAATTATCAATGGTTGTCATCTCCTGGCTGCATGTTCCTGGAAGTTTTTTGGTTTGGTTTGGCTTGGTTTGGTTGAGACAGGGTCTCATTATATATTGTGAAACTCTCAGGCTGGCCTGAAACTCTCTATGTAGACCTGGCTGGCCTTAAATTCTGAGATCTACCTGTCTGCAGAGTGCTGGGGTTTGTGGAATATTCCTTTACACTGTGTAAATATATATCACTGTGATTGGTTTAAGAAAAAAAGCTAAATGCCAGGGATTAAAGGCACTGAGGCATGAACCTTTTAATAGGTTTTTCACGCTCACAAGTTGGTGGGTCTTCCCAGGGCTTAACTTACCCAGGTAGAGCTGGGCCACATCCTAGATGGGGGGGAGGCACATCTGTTCAATGCATTTCTCACACCCCCCAACTCCCTCATCCCTCCCCACTCAGCCAGCAGCCACCAGGGATGTGGTTTACTCATAGAGAGCCCAATCATGCAAACATAGTTAAAGCCTCTACTCAGCCAGAAAAGGCAGAGGCAGGCAGAGCTCTGTGAACTGGAGGCCAGCCTGGTCTAATAGTGAGTTCTAGGATAGCCCAGGTTATGTAGAAAGACCCTGTCTCAAAACAAAACAAAATATAAATAAATTAAATTAAAAAATAATGTCCCTGTTTACATCATGTCCACTGATATCCCAAGTGGGAGCAAGTTGGCAGGGGTCTCACCCAGTCCCAAGTGGGAGCAAGTTGGCAGGGGTCACACCCAGTGACGGTGGCTTGGGGCACTGCTCTTCTCGGGAGGGGCACTGATCTTCTCGGGAGGCTTGAGGGGAAGGAGTAGGTGTCTGCTGTTCGATCAGCCCGGAGGATGGAAACTCATGAAGTGAGGAGGTCCTGTTGGTGACAAGTCTTCACTCTGTCCCCAGATTAGTTCCCCGGGACAGAGGGTTGGGCTCTATTGGCAGCTCATACCATTGGCACCTGGGCCACAGTTGCCCCATGGACCTCTGCATGGCTTTGTTAAATGATTCAAAAGAGAAACTCTGTTTCATTTGTGTTACTTCCCATCTGAAACCAAACCAACTTACTATGATGATGATGGTGATATATATATATATATATATATATACATATACATATGTATATATATATATATATATTTTTTTTTTTGAGACAAAGGTCTCACTTTGTTGCTGTTTTATCTTCGGCACAGTGGCTGCACCTTTGTCTACTGCCATTTCAGCCAGCAATTGTGACTCCGCAGTTACCGGCCTGCTTCTCTGGCAGCAGCCTGGCCACTCAGGCCACAGCCTGGTGGGGATTCTGTTCCTGCAGGCACCAGCTGTCACTAGAGGCAGCTTTAACTAGATCTCTGTTGTTCTATTTATAAATAGAACTCGAGATTCAAAGGCTGGGGTGAAAACCGGCTAGCTCAGAGAGGTTGAGTAGCACCTAGCTAGCCTCTCTTTGCTGCTGTCTCCCAAAGAGCATGTTTTTCGGCTCTGCCAAAAACAAAAAAAATGCCATGCTGCTCAAAATCCCTCCCCACTACCTCTGGTGTGTCTTTGTATCTCTTCCAGATGCCCTCCAATGCTCTATGATTACTTTCTATCAAATGGTTGCTAACTCAGCCTCCTGACCCAACGTTAATTTTATTTAATTGATGCAAATGCTAACTCGGGTTCACAGTGTGAGCGAATATCCTCTGACTTCAAACTCACAGATCTACCTGCCTCTGCCTCCAAGTGTAGAAATTAAAGGTGAGCACCAACATGCCAGACCATGAGGCCAACTTTACCTAGCTTGAGCCTTGTTTTGCTGTGAGAGGTGTCATATGAGGCCAGTATGAGGAACTATTTGAGACCCGTTTTGTATTCAGGTGGCATCGGTACTTTAGATGCACCAATAAGCAGCTCCCCCTCATTTGGTGGCAGATGCTCGGCTCAGTGTTTCCCTCGTGGTGGTCTCACTTACACAGCTCAGCAAACAGATCCTAAAACATCCACTCTCCCCACACCTTGAGTTTCTTGGTCAGGAAAGCCTGAGATGTCAGACTGGAAGAGAGCTCTGGTAGGGCCTTTGGACACTCTTGCATTTGGTTTAAATTCAACCTTCTGTAGCTGTGTTAAATACCCGTTGTCCAGTGGGAAGGTCAAATGAATGATTTCTAACATGTAAACTCAAGCCTCTCTTACCACAGATGTAGTCAAGGTCTGTGCTGCTCCACGGCTCTCTTAATAGAGCACAGGGAATCCAGGCTTGGTGGCCCATGACTTTGATCCCAGCACTCCAGAGGCAGAGGCAAGGGGATCTCTGTGAGCTCCGGGCCAGCCTGGTCTACATAGCAAGCTTCAGGATAGTCAGAGCTACATAGATTGTCTCGGGGCGGGGGGGTGGGGAGGTGGGGTGGGACCTAAATAATAAAATAGAGCACAGGCCAACAAAGAGCAGGGTTTCTGCTGTCACTTTGCCTTAGAATAAAAAAGGGACCCACTGATGAGGTCCTGGATGGCCACAACATTCCAGCTGGTTGTGGTGGCTAGTCCCAGAGGCTTACAGCTCTAAGCCATGAGAGCTGAGGAATGATTGCTCCAGAGTTTAGAAGCTAAGGGCTCATGACTCTGGGTGCAGAAGTTGGAGGCTTACTGCTCTGGGCTTCATCCCCAGCAGCCTGGTGTCTGACAGCTGGCTTAATCCTAAATTTCCTAAAGATCAGCAGCAGGCAATGCCTGATCATGCTACAGCTCTTGGGTGGGTCTTGAGGACTGGGACTTCTGTTTCTTCTTGTTTTGTTTTCTTTCTTTCTTTCTTTGTTTTTGTTTTGTTTGTTTTTGTTTTTCAAGACAAGGTTTCTCTGTATAGTTTTGGTGCTTGTCCTGGATCTCGCTTTGTAGACCAGGCTGGCTCAGAGATCCGCCTGGCTCTGCCTCCTGAGTGCTGGGATTAAAGGTGTGCGCCACCACTGCCCGGCTGGGACCTTTGTTTCTTATAGCTACCAGCATTACAGTTTGGGGGCCTAGGGTGTCCGGAACCATTGGCTCCTGAGGCCTGGCAGCTTCCTGGAACTCTTCCAGTAACTGGAACCTATAGTTTCCCATCTCTGCTCCACCAACTTGCTTCTACTGCTTCTGTCCCTAGCTGCTCTCTGGAACTTTTCAGGTCCCCCTTGTCCCAACTGCTGTTCCTATCACTGAAACAAGCTAAAGATCTCCCTCCTTTTCCTTATGGTCACACTCTAGACAATGACCACACAGAAGTCAAACTCACATAGGCACAGGCCAGCGAATGAGCCAAGAGCTTGCATATTATGTATATATAAGAGTTAAGTGGCTGGGTGGCCAGAAGGTTCCAGGGCTCCCTACTGGGTCTGTTCTCAGAGCTGGGTCCCTATTGCTTCATGCCTGCACTACTGACCCCTCAGTCAAGGTCTCCTCTCGGTCTCCAGGGCACCCCCTCTGGACTGGCCCAGACTCCTCAGTGGGAGGCACCCGGCAGTCTCCCATCAACATCCAGTGGAGAGACAGTGTGTATGACCCACAGATGGCACCACTCAAGGTCTCCTACGATGCTACATCCTGCAGGTACCTCTGGAACACCGGTTACTTCTTCCAGGTGGAGTTTGATGATGCCTATGAGGAGTCAGGTAAGCCTGGACTGGAGTTTGGGGGCTGGGGTCCAGGCAGTCAACCTTTGAATCTGAAATGTTCCTAGGCTGGAGCACTTGAGTGCCTGGTCCCCCACGGATAGCTCTGTTTATTGAGATATAGAACCATTAAGAGATGGAGTCTTTCTGGAGGAAGTGGGTCACTGGGGCAAGTCTTGGGGTCATATATTATCCCTGGATCCTTCCCTTTCCTCCCCTTACTTGTGTGTGTGTGTGTGTGTGTGTGTGTGTGTGTGTGTGTGTGTATGTGTGTGTGTGTGTGTGTGTGTGTGTATACGGGTGTGCATGTGCCTATCTATAGAGGTCAGAAGTCAACCTCAGGTGTCATCCTCAGGAGCCTTCCATCTTGATTTTTGAGGCACAGGATCTCTCCCTGGCCTGAGGCCACCCAGTAGACTAGGCTGGCTGGCCAGCAAGCCCCAGCTCTGCCTGGCTGCAGCTCTCAAGCACTGGAATTACATGCACGAGCACCATGTCTGGCTTTTTATGTGGATTCTGGGGGTCAGGTCCTCATGCTTGTATGGCTGAGTCATCTCCCAGCCCCGGCTCCTTTCTCCAGTTTCTGCTGCTCTGCCGTCCTTCCCCAACGCAATGGACTGTACCCTCTGGAAACTGGCAGCCAAAGTAAACCTGGCGAATCTTAAACTGCTTCTGTGAGGTGCTGGGCCTCAGGAATCTACAAGTAACTAACACAGTGGCCATTAGTCTCTGACTCTGTGATGTCACAGACTCAGCAAAGAAGGGGAACCTGGGCAGGGCTGGGAGGTCGTGCTCACTTGAGGGGTGGCTGCAGGGGAGAAAGCATGTCCCCAGCAGTCACCTGAGTCTTGATCCCTTGTGAGGATGAACGCAGAAATAGAGTAGAGTGTAACATGACCCTCAAAAGGTCTTATTAATTAAAAAAATCCAGAGCCAGATATTGGGGTGTTAGCTGAGAGATCAGAGAGACAGAACAAGCCACAGCTCACCTCACCAATTCCTCAGCTGATCTTGTTTCCTCAAACTGAAAGCTTCTGAGTCCTCACCCGAATGGATCTCAGCTGAACTGCTGCTCAAAAGCCTAAAAGATTAAAAAACCTAAAAAGCCTGTAGTTCCTGGTCCTCACGCCTTATATACCTTTCTGTTTCCTGCCATCACTTCCAGGAATTAAAGGCATGTGTCTTTTCCAAGCAAGACATGAGATCTCAAGTGCTGGGATTAAATGTGTGTGCCACCACACCTGGCTCTGTTCCTAGTGTGGCCTTGAACTCACAGAGATCCTGTCTCCCGAGTGATAGGATTAAAGGTGTGTGTGCTACCACTGCCTGACCTCTATGTTTAATATAGTAGCTGTTCTGTTCTCTGACCCCCAGATAAGTTTATTGGGGTGCACAATATATCAACCACAGTAGGGTCCTTCCCATGCCAGGGCTGAGGAAAAAAAACAAGCCAGTTAAGGCTAGTGAAGGCTGGCAACTGGCCTTCTGGGGCTGGGCAGGGGCATAGGAGCCACACTCTGCAGGCTTACAGCTCTCCTGGGTGTGGTCATTGCACACTGCACCTTCTAGTTCCAGGAGCAGAATCTCTAATGGAGGAGTTGGGAGAGAATTCCAGTCACTCTGAGGGCCTTTACTGACTAGTTGTACCTACTGCCCTCTGCTGTTCCCTTCCCTCACAGTCTCAAACCTCTGATTTCACTCTACCCCCACCCCTACCCCCATCATCCCCAGGCCCACCACCACCCACCCCACCACCACCTCCACATTCTCCTAGCCCTCTCTTAAGACAAAGGTCTCCAGTATCCGAGGCTGGCCTCACCTCTTGACCTTGACCTCTTGACCCTCCTGCCTTCACCTCCCCAGTGCTAGAGCTACAAGCTTTAATCTCAGGCCTCTTCCCCAGTGAGCTGTTTATTGCATTAGTTCAGACTTCTTTTGGTTGCTCACTGCAGAAACTCAAATTGTCTTAAGCAGAGGCGAGGGAACTTAGTTGGCTCCAATTCAGAGAGGTCCAGACACAGCGGGGTCCAGGGTGACAAGTGACTCCCTGGGTGGATTTCTAGAGGTCACAAAACGAGTGGCCTCGATTTGGCACCAGCTCCCAACAGAACAGCTGGAGAAGAGGGCTCTGTCAAAGTCTGGCCACTGCTCACTGTCTCCCCGCTGGTCACCAAGCAGGGGTGAGCCAAGCACAGTGACTCCCACCAGTGTGTAGCCAACCCAAGGGTGACCTTGACCTGAAGCAAGATGCGCACTAGAGAAGGGCAAGTGGCCTCCCACAGGACCTCAGGGCATGGCTCCCAGAAGAAAGCCAGCTGCTAGGAATCCTCACTCTCTTACCTCAGCTGACCTTAGCTCATCCATAACTTGATTGCTCCAAGCCCCACGGCCTTGCACTGTGGGAAGGCAGCAGCCTTCCACTTTGACCTCAGCCTGACCCCACCCCTGACATCACCACCTTCGGCATCTGAATCAAAGGGATGCTCCCCACCCTGCAGCAGATGGAAGGAATCATCCACGTGTCTCCCGTCACATAAACTAGCAGCACATCCTCGGCTCACATCCACCCTGGCCAATCTGCTTTTACTGTATCCCTCCGGACTTCCCTTGCCTGGTTCAAGTTCCCACTTCCACATTTCTGTCTTCTTCATTCACCTCATCAGAAATCAGGAACGGGGGTGGGGGGGGTGGAATACACCAGGAAGAGGGTAGGGGGCGTGACACCACAAAAAAAGTTTCCAGTCATAATTAGGAAATGACTCTTCCATTTAAAACAAAAAACAAACAACAAACAAACAAAAATTGGGCAAAAGGGAGGAAAGGACAGAGGTATCTCCCGAGAAGACAGTTAAGTTGGGGATGCGGGAGAGGCACGTGGTGTGGAAGGCACTTCATGTAAAGTGTGACTATTCGGGTCTCATTTTCACCAAGTGAGTGCCAGCAACTGTAGTCACATACCCACAGGGGGCACAGGACAGTTGTCCAGGGAGTCAAAGAAGACACGAGGAACTTTTCCAGGACATAAGGGATGTGATCTCGGGTAGGGTGTCATTTCTAGGGGGATGAATTACAGAAGCAGATACAGCCTGGGAATAGCTGAAGACCACTGGACTAAAGGCCTCGCCAAGGGAGGCAGCAGACAGGCTGTGGAGAGAAAAGTATGGAGATGGAGGGCAGAGGGGAGGTGCCACACAGGACATAAGCAACCAGGCCTTAAGGCTCAGTACTGGTGAGCTGCACATGAACCAGCTCACCACGGAAGCTTCGCGCTTGCAGCAGCTCATCTTTCCTGGGGTTAGGGATGGAGTCAAGGGGAGCATGAGATGGGGCTTAGAGCAGCAAGCCGGGCCTTGGGCAGCAGAAAGAGCACAGTGTGTACCCCCATCCTCTACTTAACAACAGGGGGTGTGAGAGGCCAGCCAACCCTCCGATCGACCATCTTCTCTGCTACTGAAGTTGCACACTGGCTCCATGGAACTGGAAGGAGGGATTGAAAATCAGGGCACCTGGAACCCCGCCAAAGGTTTAAGCATTCAGTGTAAGACCTCTGCTATGGTGGCAGCCAAGGGCTGGCTTTGTGCCCTTTGCAATGCTGTCCACCAGAGGGAACGCTAGCCCAGAGCTCTAGGGGGCTTCCTCTGACTGTCACTAAGGGTTTGGTCACTAAGACCCATTCAATCAGTCCAAGCGACTGTGTAACAATGACACCCTGAACTGTTGACATGAACTGAAGTCACTCTGCTACAGTCCTGGCAGGAAAGAAGATAATCAGAAGAAATGTTTCAGCTATCAGAGTTTTGGAACAATGGACCTAAAGAATTACATTCTGCCCCAGGAATTCCACAGTGGAATGGAAAGGCTGATTCCCGGTGTCAGCCCGAGGACGACCTTGCCTCCCAGGATGGTTCTGACAACTGGTGTAAGGCCCCTTGTAGAGAGACTGAACTGAGACAGTAAAGAGTCGCTGATGGGTGGGAGCACACCTTGGCTCTTTATTAGACCAATCAGGTGTTTTACACAGACACAGTAACACAGCTTCACAGAGTTTAACAAATGCAATGTAAAGGAATCCAACACATCTTTGCACCATTAAACAAATATTCCACAACCTAAGCAAATGTAACACATCTTAAACTAACATTCCACAATATGTCACCAAAGCCAAGAAACCCCAGAGCAGCTTTATTCTTGAGAGCCCAAGTCCAAGGGTGCTGTTGTTGGCCACCACAGACCAGGCTCTCAGGCCACCTGTCTGTGAGTTTAAAGTTCACAGATTTCGCCGGGCGGTTTGTGGCGCACGCCCTTAATCCCAGCACTCGGGAGGCAGAGCCAGGCGGATCTCTGTAAGTTCGAGGCCAGCCTGGGCTACCAAGTGAGTTCCAGGAAAGGCGCAAAGCTACACAGAGAAACCCTGTCTCAAAAAACCAAAAAAAAAAAAAAAAAAAGTTTACAGATTTCACTTCTATCCACCAGGGGTCACCAGTTGCAGATCAGAGAAAGACCCTGCCTTACAGAATAAACAAAAAGGAAGCCTGAAGCACCCAGAAAAATCAAGGCTGAACAGATGGCCTGGAGACAGGGCAGGAAGAAGAGCAGCGAAAAAAATCTTTCCTTATCTCTTGTGACCAGATTGGTACCTAGCCCCATTGTCATCAGAGAGGCTGTGGGTCTGCATCTGTTTCCATCAGTTGCTGGATGAAGCTTGGTCCTCTTTTGGGATTCCTAAGAGTGGGAACAGGGGCTGTCTCCCAGTCTTTTACTGGCTTTCGGGCCCTAATCCCTATACCAGGTCGCCTTGCCCAGCCTCTCAATACATGCGGAAGTGTTTAGTCTTACTGCAACTTGATGTGCCGTGTTTTGTTGATACTCACGGGAGACCTGTCCTTTCCTAAACAGAAACGGAGGAGTGGATTGGGAGGGTGGGAGGTGGGGTAGGTTAGGAGGAGAAGGGGGAGGGGAAGTTGCCGCCAGAATGTACAATAGATGAGCACATTTATTTA